GGATGTCTTACTACTCTGCACTGTTGATGGCCTATAGAACAGCAGAGCAAGAAGCCACTGGATAAACTCCAGCAAAGCTGATGTTTTGTCGGGAACTTCGGTTGCCAATGGACCTGATAACAGGATGCCCACCTTACGAATAGTTGCCTGAAAATGTGTCAGAGTTCATGAAAGTGCTAATTTGACAGCATCTAAGCAAGAAATTCAGCAAGGTGTTGAACTGTTGATGGAAGCATACCCAGAAGATGTTGACCTGAAACTTACTGATGAGCTTTTGTACTTTCACTTGTACGTGAGACAGAGCCATAGGCCTACAGAAGAGCACTCTCTGTCTCATATAGACCTTTATCAACTTATATACAAGGAAGATGGCCTTCCTAATGTGGAAGCAATCACGCGGCTATTTCTTAGCATAATGGTCACTATCTGCTCGGGAGAGAGGTCTTTTTCAAGACTCAGAATAATTAGAAATGAATTAAGGGCCACAATGTCTCAAGAGAGGTTGTCCGCACTGAGCATTGAAAGTGACAAGCTTAGACAAACAACTTTTGATGAACTTTTGAATGATTTTGCTATGAGGAAGGCTAGAAAAAACTCTTTTGGTCTTAGTTTTTTCATGATTGTAGTTTCTTTGTTTCTTAATATGTATTTTAAAACTGACTGTTTAATGACAATGTTACGACAGCGGAATTCACGTGACGTTGGTAACACGTAATGAGTATCTAGGACGTTCGTGAAGGTTCGAGTGTTTACCAGACGCTCTCTATTTCGTATATATAAGACCGGCGAGAAGTGACGGCATATATTGATAGATGATTGCCAACAGACAGAGACGGAGAATTGAGTTAAGCGCGGTAGTGATCGTAAGTAAAGTGCGTGAATCGTTGTGAATTATAGCGTGTGTTTTAAGTTAAAGTGACTGTGGAAATTAAGTGTATTGCAAAATTGTATTGAGAAAGAATAAACAAGTTTTATTTAAGAAAGTACTTGTATCGCAGAAGTTTCTCGGAAAGAATTTCTACGGAAAATTAACAAACGAACAGAGACGTAACAACAACATATAGTTGGATCTAAAAGTATCACACTCACTGTCAGGTAGTCATGATCATCTTATTAACACTATCTAGCCAATAAAATTTGTAAGCTCAAGGTTTTTTAAAGAATATAACAGCAAACTTACAATTTTATTTTCCTAAATATTCCTGCTTATTCCACAAAATGTTTACAAAGTTCGGTTATTGCAAAAGTTTTTCACAATGTTAATTTTAACATTTATGTTGTTTTTTTTCAATCACTACGGTATTTAACACTAACATCTTATGTCCTTTAGAGGGGGGATTGTGAATTTCGGAATTTTAAACACCGTCATCATCCTCGGCTTTACTGAATTTTG